CTGTATTTGATTGTGTTTATCTGCAGTTAGTTACACGAATTTAGATAGGGATGAAATCGGATAGGGATGAAATCGTTTATGGATGAACGGGTTTACAAGTTTTTAAGAGTTTTAAGAGTTTTTAAGATTTTTAGCCAAATGCTTTATAAGATAATATAGATAACTACATAGACAATATAATTTTTTAATGGATAAGTTAAATTTAAATATCAAAATGCTTTTTATCATGTGCCTAACAACACATAATATAACAGAAAAAACGTTAGAAAATATACATAATCACACAAGCTAAGCAACTCGAGGTCTGTATATTGATTCTTAGGGGACTATTATTTAAGGCTTATTTGGTAAGTTCTTACTGAGCCTTTTTACCTTACCAGATTAACATGATAATGATCGAGAATCTTATCCAGAAAGAATGATACAAGAGCATAGAGTCTTGCCAAGTAAGTGATGGTGATAACTCTTGATTGGTTAGCACTTACCAGAAAAATTGTTGCATACGATGTCGTTTTAATAGATTAAAATCTTACTCAGTAAGGTAAGTGAGAATGTTGACTCTTACCGGTAAACGCTTACCGGGTAAGCGTTTGAGTAAATGCCCCCTTGGTACAGGTAACAAGAACACTCATAGGTGTCCTTTTGACGATAACTTTACACTTTTCTTGGTCCTTAATCATCCTGATCCAGTGGCATTTGCACAAAACCGCCATGTTTAACACGCTTCAACATCTCGATTGCATTTTTGCAAGTAGCATCTGTCCAAAATCACACAATATCGAAGAATATGCATTGATTCAACAACTTTAGTCGTCTATTTATAATTTATTGGAAGATTCCAGGTCTTCGTTAGAGCAACCTCTGTATTGGTGCTTGTGAAATAGTTTTTGAAAGACACAAGAGAAACGTACGTTTCGGCAAATTTACAGCTATCTTGAATATATCGCTGCTGATATGTCAAAGCGAATATGGGTGGGTAATCAAATGAGAGGTCCTAGTTTCTTTCTCGAGCATCACCTACCTGCCATTACGGAAAATGCAATTTTTCTTCCATATGATGATCGTCTGATCAATTCGATGGGGGTGCTCCAAAGAATGACACATACCTTTTTTAGGTTACTTAGCGAGTGCATCTCCAACGAGCGGTTCCTATAAGAATCGCTATTGGGAAGAGTTCTTATAAGTAATATAAGAACATAATAGAACATGAATCACTATTTCAAGTTTTGCATGACTTTTATGTGGAAAAGACAGTAATATAGTGGAACATGAGTGTTCCAACCCACCTCATGAAACAAGGTGGAACAAGTTTATATTTACCAATATAATCTCAAAATAAAACTTAACTATTTCTAAAATATCAAATACGCCTCCCTATTTATATTTTATTCATTCTCTAAATTTTATTCTCTTTAAAATTTCATTTTATTGTTCTCAAAATTTCATTTTTCAGAATTTCTATATTTTGATTAATTTATGTAGTTTATTAAATATTAATAATGAAAACATTATATAGAAAATGTATAAAATAAAAATTAGAAATTTCATAAACTTCATATTGGTTTTGTTTTAAGATAATAGAAGGGTACTCGCACAATGCAGCTACATATATCTCGATTTTATTGTTTCTTTTTATTCTTTGTCTATTGATATAATACGTTTTTATATGGTTTTGAGAAAGTGATAATGTTTTTATTTTTGAATAAAATATAAATTTGAAGATATTGTAATTAAAATTTTGAAAAAAAATATCGATATTAGTATCAAATTAACTATTTATAAGTTCTTGTTTTTTGTGTAATTTCTTTGATTCAATTTTTTTTATTATAATTTAATTTAGGTCAAATAATGAACCAATTTATTTTTGGTTTAATAATGTAATTTTTTATAAAGATAATAATTAAGTATTCTATTAGAACTCCACGATTATCCTAATTATATTTTAGATTTTTTAGATTTTTATAAAATGTGATGTTTTCCTATATATGATTATGTTTATTTGCAGTTAGTTACACAAATTAAAAAATGGAGGTTTAATAAGTTGTACTTATGCACAATTTACTWGTAATTCTGAATTTTAAGTAATATGCATCAATAAACAATATTTTATGCATAAAAAAGAATTTTAAATTTTTTTTTGTCAAATGCTTTATAATATAACTAGAAGAGTACTCGCGCAATGCAGCGAGACACATCTCGATTTTAATGTTCTATTTTATTATTTATCTCTGTCGATGTTATAATACGATTTTATGTGTTTTTAAGAAAACAATAATGATTTTATTTTTGAATAAAATATAAATTTGAAGATATCAAAAAAAATAAAAAAAATAAATGTTAATATCAAATCAACTATTTAAAAGTTTTCATTTTTATGTAATTTCTTTAATTTTTTTTATTATAGTTTAATTTAAGTTTAATAACAAAATAATTTATTTCTGGTTTAATAATATAACATTTTATAAAATAATAATTAAATATTCTGTTASAACTCARTRATTATCYTAATTATATTTTAGATTTTTTATATTTAAARTWAKATGTTTATCTTGTATTTGATTATGTTTATCTGCAGTTGGTTACACAAATTCAGATATGGAGCATTAATAAGTTGTACTTACGCACAATCTATTTGCAATCTTGAGTTTTAAATAATATGCACTAATAAACAGTACTTTAYGCATAAAAAGTAGTTTTTAAGAGTTTTTATCAAATGCTTTATAATATAGTATAGATATAGATAATATGTTATAAAAATATATTTTTATTATAATATTAAATAAATTATATAAATTAATCAAAATATATAAAATAAAAAACGAAAATTTAAAATAAGTAAAGCGAATGTTTGGGTTTATGAACAAAATATAAAATAAAAAATGTTTAGATATTTTGATTTTATGAATGTAAGCTTTTTAATTCAATTTTTACGTCATATATTTTTGAATTTAAATATTATTTATTAATTTTCGCTTAGATTGATTATCTGAATTAAAAAAATTAAACAATTCATCATGGGTAAATTTGTCATTTATCAATCATATTTTTTCCAATTATGTCTTCTTAAATTTTGAACATCTATCATGTCATGTTTAGTGCTACTCTGTTTTGTTATGTCTTGTTTTGTCATATTTAAATAACAAATGCAACCTTGATGATCCCACATATCATGTTTTCGCCTTAAACTTTGAAAATTACCAAAATAGCCATAAAGCTCAGCATACATTTTTTGCAACTTTGCAATTTAATTTATAAATTTTATATTCTTATAAATTATCATCTATTCTTTTCTTAATTTCTTTTCTTTTTTTAATTTTTAAATTTTATCATATTAATTAATTAATAGGGTATTAAGCTATGTTTGACAAATTAGCTGATAAACTGATAAGTTAGTTGATGAGCAAATAATGTTTACCAAAAACTATCATTGATAAGTTAGTTGAAGAAAATGTAAAATGGTCAAAAAGGACATATTGAAAAATTAGTTAATTACAACATTTTATAGTATAATTAAAACAAATCTCTAATAATATAACATGTTAATTAAAAGAACTTCAAATTGATTATATATAAATATATAATAAATTAATCCCTAATAATATAAAAATTATAAATTAACCACAAGGGTGATGCTTGATTGGTTTGAGTTTGACTCCAAAGGTCAAAAGTATCAGGAAGTCTCAGTTTCAAATCCAAGAAGAAATAAAAATCTTCTTGTCGCCACGGAGGTTCAAATACGATGACTCCGGACTATCTGCAAAGCAGATGGTCGTTCTGGGATTAGTCGGCTCGCATAGCGGGTTGGATATCCAAGTTAATTAAAAAAAATTATAAATTAATCCCTAATTAATAATGAATCCCTAATAATTATAAATAAATATAAAAATTAAAAATATATATATTAATTTTAACTATTATTTTTCACAACTTCTATAAATTTGTCAAACAATACCTTAAAAACACATATTTTTTCTTACAAATTATTCATTAAAAAAATCTAATCTTATAAATTAAATATAATTTTGATAGCTCCTTATTAACATATTTAATCATATTAGTTGATCAAAATACATTAATAACATATTTTTTGCAAATTCCACTACTAAAAAAAAATCTCATCAATACCTTTTAACTTTATCGTATATTTAACGATAAAACCAATAAAACATAACATTCACGATATTTATTATTAGAGTTAAGTTCATACAAGAACACTATCAAAGAGAATAAGAAAACGATCGAATCACATGTGATCTTATACTGAAATCATGTGTAAAATCAATGTGATTCACGCGACCTTTGGTCGTCGTGTCACGTAGTCCGCATGCCTTTTTTTTTGAATTATTTAAAATAAAAACATATCATTAGTACAATAATGGTATAAAATAAAAAAACAAAAGGAAGTAAAAAAGAATAAATATAAAATTAGAGGAATATAAAATGTAATATTTAAAATAAAAATTGCCAAGCAAAAAAGATAAAACTGGCAAAGTCTATATGTAGTTCACTTTCTAACAGAATTAAAACTTCAGATTGGTAAATACGTCAAACGTACAGTGACATGTCTCGCTCAAAAATAAGATGATTGATAAACAATGAAATACCAGATACAATTGTACTTCTTATAAATCATTATTACTGTGGAATGTTAAGCCGCCCTTGAATTTCGTGTGAAATATCCTGCTCAAAAGTAGGATCTCAGATATAATGTACACAAATCTTGCCTCTACTCGGAAAGTGTAAACCAACACCGAGAATAATGCTATAAGGAGTTCATTTATAAAAACATCTCTTACAGCACGTGCAAAATGAAGAAAAAGAAGGCATATATTGATTGCAATTTATGCTTGCCTAAACTATGAAAATCAATTGTAAAAGAACTGAAAAATATAGTGTATGTTGACGTTCCAACTCTGGATGAAAAATACTGTGTAAAGAGATGAGAAGGCAGAATTTTCGAACCCCGAATAAGGGGTAATTGTTTTTCTTGTTTGTCGCAATTAGAAACATTTCCTGTGAACGATGGACGGCCCAGACTCATCATATTCAGCCTTTGCAATCCACATCTGCAATAAGCGAAACGTTATATTCATATCCAAATTGCGTGCCAAGCTGAAATTTGAGAGGTAGCTCAACTGGGAAGACTTGGGGTGGGGCCCCACACGTCACCAGTTCGAATCCTCTCAAGACCACCGAAAGGTTTGTCTGGATGGTAACATCTGGGCTCAATGAGATTAGTTAGAGATCACTAGTTCATGTCCCCTTGGGACCACCGGAGGGTAGGGGTGAACCAAAAACCGCCAACCCGCGAAACCCGCCCAACCCGAACCGCTAACAACCCCGATTAAACCCAAACCGCCAAACCGCTAACCGCCAAACCGCTAATTAGAAGGGTTGAAATTGGGTTGGCATAACGTAACCCAACCCAAACCGCCAACCCGCCGCAAATGTATATTTTTTTATAAAATTATGTATATATATATATATATACATATATATATATATATGTAATATTTATAAAAATGAAAGATGTGTTGTGACTTGTGAATTTGGTTTAACACCTTAGCCCAATAATCCCTTAGCCCAATAATCCCTTGCAATAATCCTTAGGCTTAGCCCAAGTGCCCAACCAGCCAACAGGCCAACAAAAATGGAATAACAATTAAACAAAATTACAAACCCTAGTCCTACTCCCCCTTCACGGCTTCACTATCACTGGTACACCACTACACCACTTCACCCTCGCTTACTCCTACTCGCTACTTAGAATTTAGAAACAGTCACCAAATCGGCAAATCCTCAATTCCTCATCACCGTCGCTACTTCTTCTCCATCGCCGTCGTCCCTACTTCTTCTCCATCGCCTCGTCCGTCCTTCGCCATCGTCCTTTCGTGGCCGTCATCCTCCATCGCCGTCGTTCTCCTCCATCTCCGTCGTTCTCCTTCACGACCACGTAAGCATCTAAGCAACCTTCTTTTTCTGTTTTTCACTTTTTTTGTTATTTATTGACTATTGTTTTGAGTTGTAAATGGTTGTGTTGTTCATGCTATGTAGAGGAAGTTGTTCATTGTTCATTGTTCAATATAATTGCAATATTAATTTAAGAGTAGTATTAAATTTAACTGTTCATTAGAAATTTGGAATTTAACAGTTCACGTTTTTTTTGTTATTTATTGACTATTTTGTTGGTATACTTTTAGTATTATTTATCATATTTCATTTGACAATTTTATGAGTTTTAGTAACCCGCCAACCCAACCCAACCCGCCCTAACCCGCAAGGGTTGGGTTGGGTTGGGTTATACTTTTGAATGGGTTGGGTTGGGTTGAAATTTTTCAAACCGCCGTAATTGGGTTGGGTTGAAAAAACGTCATAAACCGCCCAACCCAACCCGTGTTCACCCCTACCGGAGGGTTTGTCTAGATGTTAACTTCAAGGCCCAATGAGATTAGTAAGAGGTCACCGGTTCATTCCCCCTCAAGACCACTAGAGGGTTTGTTTGGTTGTTAACTTCAAGGCTCAATCAGATTAGTCAGAGGTCACTAGTTCATGTCCGTTCAGGACCACTGGAGGGTTGTTTGGTTGTTAACTTTAGGGCACAATGAGATTAGTATGAGGTCAACCGATTCATGTCCCCTCAAGACCACTGGAGGATGTCTAGCTATTAACTTCAAGGCACAATTAAAATAGTCTGGGCCACCAGTTGATGTCCCCTCGGGACCATTGGAGGGTTTATCTGGATACTAACTTTAGGATTCAACCGACGTCACTAGTTCATACTCAAGGGTTTGGCTGACTATTTACTTCAGGGTCCGATGGGATTAGTTGAGGTGTGCACAAGCTGGCCTAGACACCCCTAGTTACCAAAGAAAATGCCTAGTTGCGTGTATGCACTTATTGGGACCGTTCTCATATAGCATCATTGGTGAACATTAAAAGCCACCACCTCAAAAATTCAAGGTGACGTTGCCACCTATGTACCATGCTTGCTCGACTTTGCAAGACTTAGATGGAATCCCTCATATGCAACATTTTTCTTGCATTTAGTAAAAAGGTAATTTCCGAGATTCAAACTCATGACCTATGGCTCACAGAAGAGAAAACTAGCACATACCTCCAAGAACGTAAAAGAAGCCAAATGGTTAATGGCTTACCAGCACCTGGGTTATCGGTGGATCTCAACTTCCATGGAGATCAAGGGTTTAAGCCACACCAAAGGTGAGGAGTTTGTGTGAGTTTTGCCCTATATAATACTATATACTTAAAAGAAGAACGTAAAATAAATGTATGACTAGCTACAGTGACCACTGCAACCATTTCTATTCATGGAAATGAATTTGGATTTTGTAAGATTCCACTCGTGACCTTTGGTCTCAAAGTGATTTTGGTTAACCTTGCAAAAGGTCTGTGGTTCTCCAAGCACTTTTTCTTTCTACGGTTGTTTTATCAGGTGGCTGCCATTGAAGGGAGCAACTTAGTGTCTTCTCCTGTTAGTTTTGTAATTCTTTGTCTAATTTGGCCTGCATCAGAGGTCAAGATCTTCTTTTAAATGTATTGCGTTATGGCAGATTTTGAGGTATTCTTGTGTTAGGAAGGGACATTCTTCTCTTAGGCAGAGACGTTCTTAAATTTATTAAAAGGTCATGCATTTAAAAGAATTTGTCAGCAGGTTGTTTCCTAAATAATCATCTCATGAGGTTTTTCACCAGGATGTGAGTTGTAACCCTGTAGGCCCTCAATTATTTTGTAGTTTGGGTGGTTCATACCAAATCATTAAGTGCCAGTTTTTCAGTTCTAGTAAAATTTGTATTTGGTGTTTCGGGAAAAAGTATATAAAGTAAAATAAAGAGATAAGAAAACGAATTCAGTATACCTGTTGGAAGGTGCTGAGAGATGCCAAAATGGATCCTCCGATCCACACACTGTACTTCCTTTCTGGTGGAGCTACAACCTTAATCTTCATGCTGCTTGGGGCTAATGCAGTAATTTCCTTGCTCATTCTGTCAGCAATGCCAGGGAACATAGTAGTTCCACCACTAAGTACAATGTTGCCATACAAATCCTTCCTAATATCCACGTCGCATTTCATTATGGAGTTGTAGGTTGTCTCATGAATTCCGGCAGCTTCCATTCCGATCATCGATGGCTGGAAAAGGACTTCCGGGCACCTGAACCTCTCTGCTCCAATAGTGATTACCTGCCCATCGGGCAGCTCAAAGCTTTTTTCAACTGCAGAACTAGTTTTGGAAGTTTCTAGTTCCTGCTCGAAATCAAGTGCAATATATGCCAACTTCTCTTTCATGTCTCTCACAATTTCTCGTTCAGCAGTTGTGGTGAAGGAATAACCCCTCTCAGTAAGAATTTTCATCAAAGCATCAGTTAAATCACGACCAGCAAGGTCCAGACGTAGTATGGCATGTGGAAGGGCATAACCCTCGTAAATAGGAACTGTATGGCTGACACCATCTCCAGAGTCAAGAACGATACCTGCATAATGAAGCAAAGTGAAACTAACTGTTTCACATCTTCAATTTATGGAAGTCAAAATATCGTATATGTTAAGAGTCTTACAACGGCTAGATTTTGACCATTTCTTCTCAATATATGTTGGAGCCTCCTTTCTCTCCTCAAAGGCTCTTTTGGAGATTAATATGGGGGTGGTCCAGATATTCTCATTCTCACATTGTATCAGAGCTAAAGTTTAACACTCTAGGGACTCGACACTATGTGGCAGTCTGTACCCATTTAAGTAGCCCTCTCTCGAGACTTAGGTACAATCGGTGCACGTGTAGCCATCCATTTGAGATGGCATGTTAGAGTCCAACATTAGCTAGACATGGACGATTTCTCCACCATATATATTGGAACCTCCGTTCTCTCCTCAAGGGCTCTTTTGGAGATTAATTTGGGAGTTCCATAGATTCTCCTTCTAACAATATAAAATACATTAAAGGGTCATTGGTCAAGTGGACAAGTGGTACCCAGGTTACCGGTAAGCCCAACCTCACAAGAGGTCAAGGGTTCAAACCACACCAAAAGTGAGGAGTGTGTTTAAGTATTTATCATATATTAATATTATATACTTCACAAAAATCTTGCTACATGCCAATGTGATAGAAAATAGAGAGCCTTGTACACATCTGCGAAAACAACTAGCCTCTAGATTTAATGACTTGTGTGTGTGTACATCTATGCCTCATAGCATGGCATGCTAATAAAAACAGAGTTACCAGCTGACATTTAGTAGCCATAAAGAACATATATGCAGCCTTCATATCCTACTTTATGTAATCATACTTCAATCCCAGACACATGAAGATTAGTTAAGGAGAAACTTACCAGTTGTACGGCCACTAGCATACAACGAAAGAACAGCCTGTATTGCAACATACATAGCAGGAGAATTAAAGGTTTCAAACATTATTTGGGTCATTTTTTCACGATTGGCTTTTGGATTAAGCGGTGCTTCTGTAAGGAGAACCGGGTGCTCCTCTGGAGCCACACGGAGTTCATTGTAGAATGTGTGATGCCAAATCTTCTCCATGTCATCCCAATTATTCACAATACCATGCTCTATTGGATATTTCAAAGTTAGAATACCACGTTTGGATTGAGCCTCGTCCCCGACATATGCATCCTTTTGTCCCATGCCAACCATCACTCCTGTGTGACGTGGGCGGCCAACAATGCTAGGGAAAACTGCTCTAGGGGCATCATCTCCAGCAAATCCAGCCTTAATAAGGGAAAACATAAGCTTACTAAATGTAATTGGTAACTATATTCTGTCAAAATTTATTACCACTGAATTCATTTTATGAAATTTGTTTCAAAAGGGGCGCAAAAACAAGCCTTTACCCCAAAGGGGGCAAAGAAGGAAAGTAACTAAACTACAAAATTTCCAAAGCCACTTCTAAATTTGATACCTTAACCATTCCAGTTCCATTGTCGCAAACAAGTGGCTGAATATCTTCTCCTTCTGCCATCTTCTAATACCTGTAATAATTTAGCAACATTATATCATAAATTAACTGGAAATCGATAGCGACATATGAGAATAATTCATAAAACATGCGATCCATATGCATACTCTCAGACACACATATGTGTGTGTATATATTCATGCATGCATACATATCTACATACATACATATACATATACATATACATGTGTGATTGTGTGCCCACCAAAGGTAATGCAAGCCTGTGAAATTAACAAAGATCATGTGAATTTTAGTGATGATTTACCTACACCATGAAAACTAGTTGTGTAAATGTAGATTAAGGGATTTCATCTACAAATCACACATGCTGAAACAACAAAAGAAGCATGACAAGGATGCATCGCAAGCCATTTTGTAGGCAGAGGCAAAAATCATATCACAAGGAGAGTTTCTAATGTATTTTTTAACATTTATATGCGTACATTTTGATCATCGGTTGTAATGTAATGTTTATGTAAATAACTTAATTCTATAATGCCTTTTGTGAAGTAAAGTTACTAATTTTGCTATGCACATTTGCACAATGTAACTTCTACTTTTAACATTTTTTATATGACGACAATGTTAAAAAACTTGGACCATCATTTTGCACCGATTGAACAGACACCAACAAGAAGCATATATTCTGTCAGCTTCCAAAAGTCAGAAGTAAGAGAACCAATCAGAACAAGGGACTTGAATTGACTGCTTGACCAATTGATTAAGGAAGGGTGTAACATAATGGCCTGCTTTGATGAGAGTGTCCAAATAAAAGTATATTTTTCCTTCAGTTCAATTGTGTTTTCAAGTCCTCACAGTCTTGCATCTTCATTTTCTCACCTCTCACTCACCACAACCACTGAGCCATCACCATCTCTGCCATTATACTTGATCTCTCTAATTGTCTTCTACTTCCAACTTGTATTCCCCTTTTTTCCAAATAAGAAAAAAATGCATAACATAAATGACATACATTTTATAGAGTATGATTTATAATTCACCAGTTCTAGAAATAAAAACTTACCTTGTTACCTTACTAATCAATATGCTAATTTAAACTTATGGTAATTAGCATTTTATCATCACGTGAATATTTTATTATGTATAAGTCAATATAACTATCACCATTTAGTGACCGAAGTTTAACATTCTATCATTCTATAATAAAAGAAATTCTGAAGCTCATGAGTTCTTATGAGTTTGGTATCTTTAGACAGGAGAAGAAATTTGGTATTAGGTCTTCAACATTAAGCCAAGCTGAGTTTTGAAGCTAATATGTTCATAATTTACATCACAGATTTATGAGTGTTTATTGATTGAGCTTGTTATCCATTTTCTTAAAGATTCCTGAATTATTTAGAGGTAGCTTTTCAACTTTTTTTGAATATTTTCATTACGAACCTTACCCCCATTTGTTATATCATATTAGTAGCATACTTTTTCATGATCATGAAACCATGGTAAAAGAATAGCCCAATTGACCACTGGAACTATCCCAAGCAGCCCAAAAATCATTGGTTTATAATATAGTACGGAATGTATGTAATTCTAATGGCGATAATCTTGCATTATTATATGTAAATCGAACTTGTATGCATCTAATTATATGGTAAAAGGTTATGATTTATCTCATATGGTAAGTAGTGCAGTAAGAAGAGAAATTCCCACAAGGAATTTCATTCTATTGCTACCTAATGTGACCTGGGTATCGCATTTGGGAAATACTATTATATCTACACTACTGATCAGGCTACCACAAATACTTCTCAAGACTTTGTCATGTCCCATTTGTTGGAATCTGAGTTTCTAAGGATGTTGCATCACATTGTAGTGTTCTTGTCTTTATCTATGTAAACATTAAGTTTAAGATTGCATCATTATAAAGCAAACCATTTAATTGATTGCTACGTGATTAACCGGTTCAACATTTCTAAAAACAACTTTATCGATCAAACAAACAAGAGATAAACTGATATAAGATTTATCATCTAAGGACCTATGCTAGCTCTCCATGCCCTCAACATAATATCAATCAAACGATGGAATCCAACTCAAACTACATAAGTTACAAATCCTTGCAGATCACCACGACCAATACTTACTTAATAAACAAAGGAATACTCAGGAAGTTCATGAATGATGAAAAATTAGGTCGGACATAATCGTCTATACATGTAAAACACAAAGATCCACCAATAATGCATTCGCTCATACAATTACGTGATAACCATTTCCACAATCAAAGAAGATGATAATTCATGAAAAATTTACCTAGCAAATTAGCGGATTGTGAAAGATGGTTATTGAAATGGGTTTGAGGGAGAGTGGAATGAAATGGAGTAAAACAAGGGTTGATGAATTAATGATAAATGTAGATGAAGGATGGCCGATTTGCACGAGAATCCGTTGGTAGAGATGGATGGTGTGACGTCTGATCAGGAAATCTGGTGAATGCCATTTTCCAGTTCTTCGTTTTACCAGCCCCTTCTTTTGCACTTTTTTCTTGCTCCTTCCCTCCAAATTTCTATTGGTTTGCTCAACGTACCCTCGCTCGTCGTCTCTATCAATTCAAAGTCAAATCGGTTAAAATAGCATCCTCATCTATAAATTCATACTAATTACTTTCCATGATTTATCCAAATATTACGATGAATATGGTAAAGATTAAGAATCTTATCCGATAGGTAAGATTGAGACAAAGACCAAGAGTCTTTTTTTTACCCGGTAAGTGATGGCGACGGCTCTTATCATGGTAAGCGTTTACCGGATAAATTATTACATGTGATGTCGTTTTAGTGGACTAAAATATTACCCAGTAAGTAAATAATGATGTTAAATTTTACCAGTAAACACTTACTGAGTAAGTGTTTGGTAAACGACCGTTGAAGGACAAAAAAAATCAAATTTTGGATCTGGCCGTCACAATTGCGGACCTGGTTGTCGCAATTGTGGACCTGAGTCAAATATGATAACTTTTTTTATATTTTAGTTGGGTTCCCAAGTAGGACTTGCAGATGTAATGATATTTGGGTAAATCATGAAGAAGAATGGCTAGAAGACCAATTTATATAAAAAAATTCTATTTTTTGTGAGCTTAATCAATTTTTTTTTTATCTTTAACTTATATTTTATACTACTTCAAGAACAAACTTATATCTTATATTAGTTATTTAATTTCTTTTATATCTTTATTTTTTTCATTTCTAATTCTATGTTATTGTCGTATTAACATACATAATCATATTTTAACTAAAGTACATTAATAAGTCTGTTTTATTTTTTCAAATTACTCTCGTTAATACCTTTAAAATTAACCAAATATTGAATATTTTTGGATTTAATCATATTATTGAATATTATAAATAGTTAAAAAAATATGAAAGATTTTTAATACTTATGCTTCATATCGTTATAATTTATTATTTAACGTGTTTTATATTCTTCACTTTTTAATTTTTCATTTTATAACTTTATCATATTAACATACATAATCATATTTTAACTGAAATATATTAAAAATACGTTTTTAAAACAAATTACACCATAATAATCATCTTGTCAATACATTGACTATGAGTCTAATATTGAATATATATTTTTAGTTTAATTATGGTTTCGTAACTATATATATATACATATAAATGTGTGTGTATGTATGTATATATAGGGACCTAATCAAATGAAAACTAAATAGTTTGTGGTAACTGTGAAATCCAACATAAGTGGTATCACAGTGGTCTCAAAGTTTTACTTGATATGTTTTGGGTATCACATTGTGTATCTTGGTGTATTTTGGATATCACATGGTGTTCGTCGAAGGCGGGAGATAGGAGAAAGAGAGATGAAAGATAAAAAATTTAAAATACCTAAAATGACCTTTAATTATAATTTTAAGTCAAATTATAAAAAATATTAGTTTCCTAGTTTATCCATTGATTTGTGGTTAGATTGGATCTCACAGTTATCACAAACTAATTAATCAGTTCTCCTTTGAATGAACCCCCCACTCTCTCTCTCTACACACACACACACACACACACACACACACACACATACATATATATATATATATATATATA